TCCGTCTTGACGCGGGACGACTGGATGCGGCCGACGCTGGCTGAGGAGCTGGCCCTCTCCATGGACTTCAAGACTCTGACGGAGGGTGAGAGCCCTGGGGGTGGCAGCCAGTGATGTCCCCAGGTCCCCTGTCCCTGACACGGGCTCCTCGTGATGTCTGTGGGATGTTCCTATGTGCCCCATCCCCGGTGTCTTGGGGCTCAGCTCAGGGTGATGAGGACAGCAGGGGAAGGACACCCTTGGTGTGACACTGCCCATTGGGCTCAGCCTTGCTTGGTCTCACCCCTCCTCAGCTCTGCCCTGCACAGCCCCTGGAGACCCCCCGAGTCTGCCCCAGCCCCATGGGGACAGCAGTGCCACAGGGCAGAGGCTGGCAGTGGTGCTGAGACACAAAGGATGGGGAGGTCCCCAGGCTCTGCCCTGCTTTGGGGGCCAGGGGATGGGAGCCCAGATTTCTCTGCCGATCCCCAAATCCTGGTCTCAGTGCCAGGGGCAGAGGGGACCTTTGCCATCACTGAGGTTTCCACTCCCTGGCAGCCCCTTGCCCTGCAGCACGGCTGTATGTGGGGCTGCTCCCCCCTCCCCAGAGGACTCCCTGGGGGCTCGGAGGGACCTGGCCTCTGTGCAGGTTGAGCATCTTCACGTCTGAAATGTTCTCCCCTCTTGTGTGATGTGTCGTCTGCTCAGTGGATGCTACTGATCTAATAAATGTTTGCAGCTAACCCTGTCCTCCTCCCATCTCTGCTCCCCCAGCTCATCATTTTGGGGTCCCCCTGAGCTCCCACACACTGTGGGAGGCCAAGGGATGAGCTGCCCAAGGGGCTGGGGAGGGCAGGGTGGGCATTTAGGGTAGGATTGACCCATCTGTCCCCGTTTTATAAGGGTATGTAGCCACAGGACAAGGGGGGATGAATTAAAACTGGAAGAGGGAGATTTAGGTGAGACATGAGAAGGAAATTCTTTGTTGTGAGGGTGGTGAGAGCCTGGCCCAGGTTGCCCAGGGAAGCTGTGGCTGCCCCATCCCTGGCAGTGTTGAAGGGCAGGTTGGATGGGGCTTGAAGCAGCCTGGGCTGGTGGGAGGTGTCCCTGCCCATGCAGGGGGGTTGGAACTGGTTGGAATCTTTTAAGGTCCCTTCCAATTCAAACCATTCCATGATTCTATGGTTTCCTGCCTGTTGGATACTGTGCATCCCAGGGAGAATTACTTGGTAACCCCCATGCAGGGGGTTGGATCAAGATGATCTTGAAGGTCCCTTCGAACCCAAACCAGTCTAGGATTCAAGGATTCTATGGGCCCTGGGCCATGCAGCCAGCACCAGTGGTGGCTGCATGAGGAATCCCATGGGGACATCTCTGGTCTTGCCATGCACGGGCTGTGCTCACATGAGTGGGGTGTCCCACTGCCATGAAGGGGTGCATCCCCAAGATGTGGGCTGGTCCCTCTCCTGACAGCACCCTCTCTTCCTTCAGGGTTTGGGCACAGGCAGCCCTGTGGGTGAAGCTGTTTCAAAGCAGGTGCAGCCCAAGCACAGGCCCAAGCCCAAGCTGGGGATTTTTGCTCCCCGCATGTCCCACATGCAATATTCTTCCAGCTCTGCACATCACCCCAGGGGCTGGGGACAGGGATGCTCACAGCCACGAGGGACATTCAGCTGTGAAGAGGAGCCTTGTGGTCAGGCAGGGATGAAACCAGCAGCCACTGGGGTTCTCAGGAGCTGCAGGGCTCCACTGCCCCCAGCTCTGCACAATTTAATCGAGAAAACTGCCCTGACCCAGTTCCCATTTCTTTCATGTCCCTTTTCCTAAGGCAGCAGCAGCACTGCCTCCATGTTCTCCTGCTCCAGGCAGTGCCACATCCCTGTCCCCATCCCCACCCCAAGAAGCCCCAGCACACTCCCACTCACCACAGGGTGAGAAGAACACCAGGCCAGACCCCGCTTCCAAGTGTTAACCATTTATAAATAAGTACATTTTTTCATACATACAGTTTTCATTGTACAGATTACAATCTGTATACATTGGGGGGGTGGGAATGCATTCTTTTGAACTTTTCACATCTATCTCACAGCTCACATGTACAGACAAGAAAACTCTGCTCAAGCAAATACAGCAAAGGAAAAAATATGTTTTCTTCTTTCCTTATCCATGAGAGGCAAAAGCCTCTGCTGTTGGCAGGGGCTGCTCTTCCCACTGCACGATATCACAACTGTGTGGTGTTCAATATATCAGTAGAGAGAACAGAACATGCATTGAATAATATACTGTACAGAGAGAAAGTCCTTTACATCAGAATTATAGAAAAGCTAAAGGAAAAGTTAAGTGTCTTAAAGATCTTCCCAGCAAGTGTCTCGAAGGATGGCAACCAGGGGATTGTGCAAAGCACAGGTGTGTTTACTGCTCGGGGTTGTACCCAGCTCAGATCCTCTTGGATGTGGTGACAGGAGGGAGATGAAACGCTGAAAGCAACAGGATGGGAAAGGAAAGGCTGGAGGGGGAGGAGAGCGGCAGCGCCGGCAGAGTCCACGTGAGTCTCCGGGTGGAGCAGCAAAAAAGAACCTGATGTAGCACACAGAGCTGCTCTTGGTGTCTGGCTTCTCAGGGCACAGGCCCACGGGGAGCCACCCCTGGGCATCAGGCTCCCCCACCCACCCAGCACCACCCCGACAACCCGCAAGCCCCATCGCCGGCCCTGGGCAGCGTCACCCAAAAGGGGCAAAGTCTTTGGGCAAAGCAGCCCGGTGGTTCCACAACTATGGGATGTGATCCCGCAGGATGGGACCTGACTCCCCAGTACCGTGACAGCTAGAAAATGAGCAGGAGGAAAGGATACAGCAGAGGGGTTGGTGTCCATTGGCTCTCCTGGTGACAGTGACACCAGCTGTGCTTCCCGTCGGGTAGGGCTGTAACAGTTGTGGTGAGATCCAGCTGTATATAGAGTCAGGAGTTGGACATGAACGCATCTTGCTAAAGAATTGAGCCCTTAGTGGTTTATATTAGAAAAAAGAGTTTGATTGAATGAAAAATCCAGCAATTATTCACACGAATCTGAAAAAAACACACACAGATTTAACTTCCAACCATTGTGCTTTGTGTCCAACACACACCCCACCAGACTGCGCGGAGAGCGACCGGCACGGGGTAAAGGCATTTATCCACAGAGGTCCTGGTAGGTACAACAGCTCTTCCCCTAAGCCCTTGGTTAAACACCATTAATCCTGGTAGATGAGTTATCTGGAATTGCCAAGACCAGGGCAAAGGACAACCACCAAAGAGCTCACTGCAGAACCCTCTCTGCAAGGAAGGCGGAGGACGGGCAGGCACGCCGGCTTGCTTTTCTCTAGATAAGGCAGAGCTGGCACTTGGGTTTTAGCAAGACTTCTTCTGGGTGACCCTAAACACACAGTGACCCTTGTACGAGGGGGCTCCATCACTCCTAATTTAGTAGCCACCCTGGTTCGTGACCCAATCCAAGCGTGGCTTAGGCATCTGGCGAACACACACACACAAACGTTCACACCAGCCAAGTGTTTTTTCTTTCCAGCCGGGTTAAAGGGAACAAAAGCAAAAAGTTCAGTGCTTGGATGGACCCACCTGTGGTACCAGATGGACAGATGGATGGACAGATACAGCCTGAGCCCTCCCAGAGAGCGCCACAGAGGACACAGCTCAGGCTGTGCCTTTGGAGATGGATCCCAAGGGCTCTCTTTGTAAAGCCCTCCCTCTCCTAAGCACTTGGGATACCTGCTAGTGACCATTTTCACAGCCCTCCAATGCCAACCCATCAGGAAGGGGTTCCCTCCCCTGGGCCCAGAGCACCCTCCCAGCCTGGGAGAGACAAAGCAAGAGCTGGTGAATCCTCATGGCAGGACGTGGCAGACACCCACACCCAAAGCTGGGGGAGAAGGTTTCAGCTTTGTGGGGGCACAACCAGCTCTGGGGCAGCTGCGGACAGAGGACGAGACACCCGGTGGGAAAGGTGGCTAAATACAGGGCTTGGCTCCACCCACCCAACGTGCCCCGAGAACAAAACCTGGAGGTTTTCGTGTCATCAAGAACCTGGTTCACTCTGTGCACCCAACAATCCTACTGGCTCACAAAACAGGGACTCACCATTGGGCCACCACAGCCTGGCAGGGGATGCAGGCGCCGTCTGGCAGCATCGCCCCGCATCTTAACTACTCAAGGAGAAATTAAATACACAGCATGGACACACAGCACCACCTCTGACACTCTGTGCATGCTCCAGGCTGGTCAGAGCAAGATCTGAGATGACAGGACAAAGGGATGTCAGGTGAGATCTGAGCCTCGTGCTCCACCCAGCCACGTGCTTCCCAGCAGGGCCACGCACGAAGGCACAACATGGAACAGCCTCTGCCTCCTGTCCACACCAAATCCAAACTGTGACTGTGAGGACACAGGGGGGGAATATGTCAAGAAGAGCTTTTCCAGGGAGAGGTGTGCTCCTTACCCACCCAGGGACTACAGCAGCCATCCTGCCTCAACTGTCCCTAAGAGAATTGCTGGGGAAGTGCTTTAAAAACCACTGCAAATAATTTTGTATTTAAAAATTACTCAACCTGTCGATGCTTATATACAAGAGTCAGTTCTTGTGCTATAAACAATATGATCCATTGCTTTGTTTCTCTTTTCTTGAAAAATACAGTAAGAGACAAGAGCTGTTTTGCTATTTTCTAATGAAGACACTACTCACGCTTAAAATATCCAGTATTTATCAGAGGAGCAAACTCAACCAGTAAAGTGCACCCATTTACAGAGAGAACAGATGGAAAACCATTAGTGCAAGAATCCTGTGAAAAATGCAACACACGGTCTTGTGACGAAAACCTCCACACTACAGTATTTAAGCCTTCTCTGAGCTTGGTGTTTGTGTTCAAAGTGTGAACTGTTTTTCTCTTTTTTCCCTTAAAACATCTTCCTAAAGCCAAAAGCTGGGCACGGGGGTGCTGTGGAAGGGCAGAACTGGGAGCACGTGGCAGTGAAAAGGTAAAGCAAAGCACAGGCAGGTCTCAAATGGTGGCTCTTGGACCATCCTGGTGGCATCTCAGCTGAGAAAACCAGTTCCCAAAACAGGGACGGGGCTGGATTTGGTTACTTTTTCCTTTCCAAGCAGTAACTAAAGGTAGGAAGCCACTCAATCAGAAAGCTGGGGGATGCTGAGCAAAGCCAGTGGTGCTGCTCCAGACCCAGGGATATGCAGGTCCTAGCTCTAGGTATGAAGAGAAGAAGAAAGCAAGTTACTCCTGGCAAAGCAGAACATGCTGCTTCTGAAAGAGGAGAGGAATGAAAAAAAACCCAAACCATGACAGCCCCTGAGCCAGGAGAGAAACAGTGCATGGAGTGGAGTGTCCCCGTGGCCACGGGGAGCTCACCCTGCTGAGGGGTCCCCAAGTCACCCCCCACTTGACAGAGGACAAAGCAAAGAGTCAGCACTGGGTTGCACCTTGAGAAAGGAAATGCCAACCTCGATCTAAATACTGGCTTGGATAAGGACCAAATAGCCCAGAGAGCACAAAAACCACCAAACCCCTTGGAGGAAACATTCCCCTCAAGCACTTTTCAACATGTCTATGAGACACCAGCCTCCATCATCCCCAGCTGTGCAACTCCCAGCTTGCTCTGAGCAATGAAACAGCAACAAGATATGCTGATCCACACATGGGGGGGGAAAAGACCCCCCCCCCAATCCAACAGCCCTATCAAAGCCAGGGTTTGCTAAAAGGCCAAATCCTTATCTGGAGCAAAGGGGTGTAGCTGCACTGCCATCACAATGGGGATATGCTCATTTACACCAGCTTCAAGAAGTCCACTGGTTCAAGAAGTCTTGCAACAGGTTGGCATAGCCCTTTGGAGACACCAGGAGGTGCAGCTGCTCCTGCTCTGCACTGAAACCACTCTGAAGAGTTGATATGAGGGAGGTTGGGCCTCAGGCAACAGGTACTATTTTGCTTTGAAACAAGCCACAGGGTTATCACTCTCCCCCCCACTTCATCCCACCCTTTGCCCTCAGTAACTGAAAAGGCAGATTACAAACCCACCAGTGATGGATGGATCTGTAAAGTAAGTCCCTCTAACCCCCAAACAAAATTTCAGAGAATAAATGTAAAAAGAACTATGGAAAATCCTTTAAAAAGGATTTTGGAGGCGTCCCCTGCTCTTCACACTGTCTTGATGTGATTTAAACCCCCCTCCAAAAAAAAACAAAACAAGAAAAAACAACCAAACCAAAACCTGTCCTGAAAGAGATTGCATAAATAAATTATAAGTACCTCTCAACCACAGGTTCCTAAAAAGCAAAACATGGTCTCTACCATTTGCAGGTACAGAACATGGCAGCTGCTTCCCAAGATGTTGGGAATGGATCTTAGAGGAACACAGCCCTGGCTTCAGTGGGAGAAGGAGGTGAAGGGGGGAGGCTGCAGGGCTGGCTTGGCAGAGGGAGCCCTCCTGTCTTGGGAACCACCACTGGGCCAGGTTACACAGCCTCATCACAAAAAGAAAACAAAAAATTACAGTTCTCCTCCTGGAATCCCGTGTTCTAAGCCAGCTGTTTTGTTTGACGTTGCAAGCAAAGAAAACCCCACCCAAATGAACCCCCTGACATGAAACCGACCGGGTGAGGACACCGCGTTGTGTGTGAGGTGCAGTCGCCTGCTCAGGGTGTGAGGAAGAAGCTGCTGCAATCTCAGTTCATGCCAAGTCCCTCAGCTGATTCAAACACCTACGACGTGTCAACTTTAACCTCTCAATGCCTGTAAAATGCCCCAGAGCAAATCAGGGCCGGGGCAGCGTGCAAAGAGGCAAAGCATGGCATGACCCCCACCCCTCCTGGCCAAGGATACCATTAAACATAGAAGGAATCCCATTTGGATTCAGCTGCTCCAACCCCAAGGAAGCAGGGGTTGTTGTGGTTGTTGTGCATAGGCTACTTGGTACTAAAACACATCATTCCCTTGCTCGCTGCACTTGATTTGCTCCTTGGGGCAAAGAGCCAAAGGACCCAGTTGGCACGAGGACCTGTGGATGAACCCTTGGGAAAGGCTCCTCTGATCCCTGCTCTGCTCCCATTTGGAATTCCCATCAGAACTGAGTAAGAGCTCATTGAGACAAAAGAAACCCATTGAAATTGAGTGCAGTTGCCTCTTGAACAAGAGCTGGTTACCTCCCGCTGCGCAGGGAACATTCCAGGACCACCCCGCACCACGTACTAAGATATCCTGGTTGGGAAGGTAGCTGGAATTGGGCAAAAGATACTGGCTCTGCTGATGTTGGCTTCACGGTCAGCTGGGGAACTGAAAGGGCTGGAGCACGTGCATGGTCTGACCACCACACAAAGTACCAGAGAAACTTGGTCATGTAGCTACCCAAGAGAAATAAAAAATAATATGCATGGAAATCAAGCTTGGAAGTGTGTGCTGAAAACATGAGGGTCTTAACTCCAACAAGCGTCTTTTACACATTAGACTCCACAAATGGTCTCTTTGGTTTGATTGGGGATGTCTGCCCTTGTCTGGAGTCCCTGGAGAGCTGCCTGTAGAGGTTGTCCTGGTAGGCCTGCGCCACAGGCAGTGTCCTTGCCACCTTGACGTCGGGATACGAGGAGGCTTGGGTGACTCTCTCCAGGAGGTCTCCCCGGGACCCATTGGCCAGCATCCCATGGGGGCTGTAATAGTCTTCCTCTAGCAAATGGCCATTCTGTGCATTGTTGGTTTTGTTATAAAAGGCAATGTTGCTGATTGACGAAGGCGGGCTGAAGGATTCCGGCTGGGGGAGGTTGCCAGGAGACGTAGGACTAATGACAGTGTCCACTGATGACACGGCCCAGGTCCGGTTCTGCTGATGGAGATGGGGATACTGCTGAGTCCGAGCTGTTTTATCTATGATTCCCATGAAGGGCGTGGTCCGGGAACGGGCTGGCTCACTGGGATAACCCCCCTGAGTGGGGGAGACCGGAGAAAGTTCATCGCAGGCTCTGTCGTAAGCTGGTTTGAGAGGAATCTCCATTTGCTGGATCGAAGCAGAAGGGCGGAAGTTGGGAGTCAGGTTGGAGGTGGAGGAAATGCTATTGCTAGAAGGAGAGAAGCGGAGGCCGACGCTCTGGGAGTGGAGCAGGGGCCGTGGAGTCGGTGGGTGAGCCTTGATTTCACTGGGATTAACTGTGATGGGCCTTCTGATGAGATGGGACACATCCGGAGAGCCCAGCTGGCTGGCGGGGAGGGAAGAACGTTCCAGGTCGAGCTTCGAGTGGCACACAGGGTAGTAGGAGGCAGACTGGCTTCTCCCGATCTGAGGGGTCTGGCTGTACCTCATTCCCCCCCGGTAGGCCGAGGATGGTCTCTGTGGAAGGTCTTCCTTGGCCAACCCTCCGTGCTGGCAGATGGCCCCCGCGCTGAGGCTGGCCTGGACGTGCTGCACTGGCCTGCTGTCACCAACGATGCCCCCGATGGAGCCCTGGTAGACCAGCCTGCTCTGGCTGACCCCCATTTCCCCTGATGCCGACTGGTACTTGCTGGCCATGGAGTGGGCAACCTGGCTGTAGGCACCAGTTGGGATTACAGTACTGGAGTGGACGGCGGAGCTGGGCTGGTTGCTCCTCACGATCTGGGCCTTGGCTGGCTGCAGCCTCAGGCCCTGCTGTGGCACAGCCACGGGCAGCTGGGGCATCTGGAAAGACCTCTGTGTCATCTTGGACAACGGAGACTTTGGCCTACCTGGGAGCTGGCTGACCCCACTGGGTTCTTGCTGGTAACGCACCGGGGAACCAGACTGTGACCTATAAACGCTCATGCTCTCTGCCGGGGGGCTGGCACGATACTGAGGACCTCTGCGGAGAGGAGAAGGTGGTGGGCTTTGATACTCCTTCCCTTGGCTTCCAACAGGAGGTGGGCTGAAGCGGTACGAGGAGCCCTGGTGAGCAGGGGACGTGTGCGGAGGACTGGGCCTGTAATGTGAGTTTTGGTGCGTTGGAGACAGAGCAGGAGACGTGGACTGGTACCCCTGCCTGGTTGGTGAACCCACGGAGCTATTGGACCTGAAATCAAAGACCTGATGAGAGCCAAGAGGTGAGCCAGAAATATAGGCTGAGTCCCTGTGAGCTGGGGACGGGGGTGGGCTCTGGATGATGGGCAGCCCTTGGTTTGGCCTGGACTCTGTCTGCAAACCAATGGAAACATTCTCTACGTCCTGCTCAAGGAACTCCTCCTCGAAGATGTCCTGCACAGAGTAGAGCTCTTCGTGTTGGGCTTCAGGCTCAGGCTCCACCGGGAGCGGCGGCGGGGGCGGCTGCT